GCAACTACCCCAGCTCCTCTGAATTGCAGCCCGTGCCCTCCTCTATCATCCCCCTGTGGGTTATACACATCAGTCTTTTCGAAGGCTTTGCCGCAGTCTCCGCGCGTACACCTGCGCCGTCGTGCGTCTGTTGCGCTGTTTCTACGGCTTCGCGAGCATCACCGGTTGAGTCGCGGGCGTGGACGAGGCGCGCAAGCATGGCAACGGCGGGCTTGTTGAATTGGGTCTGCGAATCCTGCACCGCGCGAGTGACTTTCCAGGACCGTCGTCGTTGGAGCAATTGCTGGACTTGTGGCCGCATCCATTGCGATCGACATGTTGCAGTTGTCGATGAGGCCGGTCGAGAACCGTGCGCTGCTGTTGGTCATGGCAAAGGCGTTGTTGAATGTCACGAAGTGATTGCAAGGTCAAATTTGGTGGAGACAGACCATCATGTTCTTGCTGGCATTGTTGAGAAGGAGCGGGCCTCTCTGTGGAACTGGGGAAGATGGTCATGGACGAGTCTGCACAATTCCAAAACGGACTGGCTGTCGCGAGAACGCAAGTCCAAAAGTGCTTTCAAGCATTCGCCCCGAACGCGGACAGTGGAAACAATCGTTTGCATTTCGTCATCTATTCTCAAGACCTACGATCGTATTTCAGCAAAGCAAATATGGACATCGCTCACTCAGAACCTTTCCCTGTCTATCAAACACTTTGTTAAATCGAGGGTTGGACCAGCTCCAAGGCAATAGGGAGCAGTCAATTTCGAAAACAGCACGACCTGTCTGTACATGAAGCTCCGAAAAGCTAGAGTTTCGCCAGACGACGGTGAGGCACCTTCCGGATGATTGGAAGATTTGGTGGCTCCGGTCTAGGCGTAAAGGCGGGAGCTTCAATTTCGCGGAAACTGCAAAAGTCAACACCTACACTCATCCACTGATCGACCAGTGACTTACTAGAAGATTATGAACGGCGGTCGACGGCCTTCACGAAGGGCTTGTACTCCCCCGTTGACTTCTGTGTATCCAAGCAGCTGGAATTTGCCGCAAAGTTTTTCGTAGAACATGACTTCATGGTACGCAGTGCCTGTGACGGACGCGATGTATCTACCAGTCTCGGAGAGGACGACGTAGCGAACGGGAAGCGTGCCCGGCATGTAGATTGGCTGCATGCCGAGACTGGTCGAGAATGCAATTGGTTCTGGGTTGGTAGGCCTAATGTCGGCGACGGTCGACGAGCGCTTGATATCTGTGCGTCCTTCAGTTAGTACCAGTCCAGCAACAGATGTAAAGAAACAACTCCACGGCTATGATCCAACTCCACTGTAATATTTTCAAGGGGACTGATTAGTCGGCTGGGTTACCTCTCAATGTGTAGATTCCCGGCGGACCCTTTGAATCGAGACCAGGTTCAACTTTGATCAGCATATTGAGCACATCAGTCGGTGCATTCTGCTGGGTGATGGTCCATGTTTTCACAGGATTCATCTTCCTTAGAGCCGCCTCGAGGTTGACGTGGTCGCGGAGACCAGATGCGACCCAATTCTCAATCGCCACTGTCTCGTCAAAGTCCAGACCCCACATCTGGCGCGAAGCGTCTGTTATGACCTTTCGATATTGGTCCTCCAGCGCAGGCTGCTTTGACAGAACCTGGTACTGCTCCTTCAGCTGATCGTAAAAGACGTTCATGGCGCGGCTGATGGCAGGCGGGTCCGGCGCCTGGTCAATGTAGTATTTGCGGAAGACCTCTGCTCCCTCTCGGAATACTCTGATGACCTCTGCATCCTGAGAAGCTGGGTAGGCATTTCCAAAGACGCGCTCTGCCACAGGAATTGCTTCGTCAATGGTCACATGTCGGCTGTACTGTACCGCCAATTCCCTTTGCTCTTCAGTCCGTGCGGCTCCAATGATTTCGGGTTCACGAGATGGCGTTGCTTTGCAGCAGAGGAGTTTGGCAATGTTGCCGCCTTGTCTCTTTTTGACACCTCCACCGCAAACTCCGCAGTTTTTGAATGCTGAATTAATATTAGATATGCTTTGTGAATGGAGACTTGAACAAACCATTGTGTTTGGTTGACGCTTGAAGGTCTTCAACGGCGGCGTCAGTGTAAAAAGGCACAGGCTTTCCATCGCCGTAGTCGTTGAACAGTTGAACTCTACCGCCTTTGCCCTCGGCTTCGAGAATCTTGCCCGCGCCGTTCGACACAGGTTTGAAATATGACATCACTTCCTCAATCCTCCCGACCCACTTCGCTGCGCCGGCGGCCTGGGCGAGATCATTGACGGCAAAGATGACCTGAACAACGTCGGCAAAAATCCCACCTGCTTGTTCGATTTCGCCGTTGTATGGAATCGTCGGAATAGGCTGGATACAGTGAGCCAGATGATATGAATGAGTTGGGGTCGCAGCACACCTTTTGCGGCTTGAAAACTTCAGCGCAGCCCTCTCGTGTTTTGTCAATTTCCTTTTGATCTTGTCCAGGCAGCTTGAATGTCATGGAATAGCAGGTCGACCTCGCCGAGTAGACGAGGCCATTTCTCAACAGGTTTACGAGATCAATCACACCATTGATCAAGCTTTTCATAACTCCTGTTACAATGAATCAGCGGGATTCGAAAATATCCAAAAAGAGAAGCTTCATGACGATTGATCGCAGACTTTTTGAGCAGTGAAAAGGGCTTCCACGTACCGACCCAGAATTGATCCAGAAGAGGCAAATTGTTTTCCGGCTCGCCAAATAGTGGATCACTAGCCCTCTTCTCCAACGAATACTCCCCAGATCGTGCCATTAGCCTCTTTCCCGGCTGCCCTCCACCCGAAGCAAATTGTACGATGCCGGCGAAAAGGCCACATGCACAAGCACCTCCGGGCGGATTCGCAACACACGGTCCAAGCGAGACTGCACGTATGCAAGCCTCCACTTCGGCCGACGCGTCCTTCTTGAAGCGACGAGCAGGTACATCAAAGCAAAAGGCCGGCGCCAGGTGCAGCACACACTGCATGTTGTGAGGTTTGGTCTGACATATCTCTGGCAGAGAGTTGAATGCCCGAGAAATGAGGCAGTCAAGGTTGGTGTTTGTATCCGTGTCGCAACCAGGCAGCAAGTTTTCGGCGGTGGGCTCCGTGCTTCCTGGCACCTTTTGTCCGATCAAGTTGGTAATCTGATCAGCCGGGACGTGGAAATCTTGCGCCGGAGCCGCGACGAGCTTCCCTGTCAATGCCTGATACACACAAACATTGGCATCGACGTTGTCGTTGACAGACACCAATGCTCCGTTTGGATCGACCTTGATGTGCTTGACATCGGCGTTGCGCATCAGATGCATGTTTCCAGCAGTGGCTTTGGTTTCAATCTGATGTCGTTAGAATTGACTGCTGTTCACCACTGCGTCGATACTCACGTAAAACTGAAACAAACGATCCGATCCGCATGGCTTTTGCTCCACGATATCGTTTGCACCAGAAATCCAGCAGTCGCCGCCTGTTGCAAAGGGCTCGGATGCTTTAATGAACGTCTGACTGTTGGAGTCGAATTTTGCACTGTCGGCGAGCCATCCGCTGACGAACCGAAAGCTCAACGAGGCCTTGGGCCCAGATGCAGCAGGTTTTGTTGTGACGATTTTCCCATCATTTGACCAGATGGGGAGAAGACCAGCATCCTTGTCGGCGCCGGCAACATCGGGCGCGCAGGTAGTTGTTTTTGCTGTGTCCGGCGCTATGTAGAGCCGCAGATTCATTCCCACATGCTGCAAAGGTCAACATTAATACTGGTGGAGTGATTGTCTCTTACCCATTCTACAGGTCCCGCTGGGGCAGCAGCTTGCGGTGCTCCTTCCGTCGACAGCGGAAACCAGAAAAGGACAATGCTCAAAAAGAGCGAGCACAAGATACGAAACGGAGACTTGTCGCTACGCATTTTGGTTGTAGAGCCGGGACTGCCGTTTGCGCGTGGATCTGCACCGAAGGCAGACGCGTGAACATATAGAATCCGACATCTTCACTCGTCTGCAGGTTGACTTGTGTCTAAATTTGGATGAGGCTCTATAGAACGTAGGCCTGACGCTTAGAATGGTGTTGAAAACGCGTGTAAGCAAATTAGGCTCACTCGGTTTACAGGATGCTATAGTTTGGCACCTTGCACTCTAAGAACACGGCCACTTTGTTGAACCCGAGGTGTGCAATAAGTGCCGCGTGCTGTCGGTTCCGAGAACGCCGATCTGGTATAGAGTTCTAGCTTCTGTTGGCGGCAGTATTAAGGCGAACTTGCTTTGCTTAATTGTTTAAGTGAAGAGCTGCTGATGATGCGTGGGTGGCGAAGATGTCGCTGGAAGACTGACGCGACGACGAGGTTTTGCGGGGCGCGCGACACTAACCGAATCGAGCCAGGTCATCAACCCTGCATACAAACACTTACCCTTCAACATCACCACTGTGCCACGAGCATTCAAAGACCACTTCCATGATAGTTGACGATTATATTTTGAATGGTTGCTATTGTTGTATAAACGTTGTGTCGGATGTCGTCAGTCCGATCCGGAATTTTTTGGTAATGTTTGACTTCTTTGCAAAGCTCTATTAAACTTTACGATCGTTGTCTTAGGGCGGCCGTTGAAACTAAGCTTAAGAACACATCCTTGAACACAGAGTTAACAGCATGCCAACTGCCGAATGGGTACCTGCATATCTAATTTGCGGCCCCGTATGTGCAAATGTAAGTTGTCGGAATAACAGCTTAACGTGCAGCTATCTAGGTAGGACCCATATGATTGGCTAGACCAGTCGCATCGCTGCGGAGATGGGTCGTGGGAACTCCGCTCGGCTACGCGACAAATTTGCTCGGACCTTTGAAATTTGCGACCGACACTTATCAACCACCACGACCACAATCCCCAGAATCAAAAAATTTAGATCGGGGCATAAACAGCGAACGAGGTTCAAGCCGAAGAGCTAGGGAATCGTTTGCAAATTATATACACATCAAATTCTACCTATCTCATGAACAACTCAAAAGTCCATCATCTTCATTGGTCTAGTGGTCATGATTTCCGCTTGTCACTGGCAACAGAAGCAAGCGCGGGAGACCTGGGTTCGATTCCCAGATGGAGAGTTTCTTTTTGGCTTCTTAAGTGCTGCTCATTGGGTTGTTCCAATCCTCTCTGCTTTTTAACTTTTCGTTTTTTTTTTTTTTTTTTTTGTATTTTGGTCAGGATGGATGCGCAAGAGATGAGGACTGCTGCACTACTTTCAAACAGCTCGACAAGCACAATGAGCAATGTAGGAAATCTTAGGCGCACGCTTGTGACTTTTGGGAGTGTTTCCCCGCGATTTGGGGGTAAAGTTTTCCTTTTGGAGAAACCTTTTGGAGAAAAGGTTCGGTCGGTCTACTGCGAAAAGTTTACACAAGCCTCACTGCTTGGCTTTGAGCAAACCTCTCAAAGGTTACGAATGCCCTCTTCAAGATTGACGCGCTCGAAAAGCTATTCCATCAGATGGTGCCATTGCAATAGACCACTTGAAAAAGTACCCCCCCTATAACGCGATGCAGCCCAGGTGTGATGCGGACTCAGTTGCAGTCGCTCCTTATCGTTGCATGGGAAGTTCCACGGGTTCATCCGTCTTGGATCATTCAATCTCTTCTCGTTTGTCACACTCGACCTGAGATCATTCAATCGCGAAAAAGATCACAGTATATGCGACGTCAAGCAGACAAAAAGAGAACACTGATGTGGTGTTCAAAAGTTGAGTGACAAGTGAGAAAACCGGACAAAGCAGGAAGGAAGTCAGAGGCGAGAGCATATCCTACGGTCAGAGCAAATAACTCCAAGCGTGGTTTTTTTAGCCCATGCCTGCTCTTTACCAGTTCCTCTGACCTGCTGATCCAGATTTTGAGTTTCTGAAATACATCTCCATCGACACTGGATCCTTTGTGACCGCAATGGACTGCCAAAGAAATGTGTCGACATCAAGTCAGTGCACAAGTTCTTGAAGGCTTCCTGTACCCACAGATCTTGACTTAGCCATTGAAAACTCGCCCTGAGCCGCGTAATTTTGGCACCAAAACTTGAGTTCAATTTGCGACCTTGCCGTAGCATACGATTGGTGCAAAATGCACTACTACGGAGTCGCCGAATGCGGCAATTGCCCCCTCAACGCCAACAACCAGACCAGTGTAGTTAAGGCGATTGCTTTCGATTGGCGACACATTGGATTCAAGTATTCGAATCGCAAGAGACCACCAGGACCGCGATTCAAAAACATAAGTACTTGCCCGAGCATCTTCAAGACAAGCAAAGACTGGTACCTGATGTTGACGAAGCTATCAAGCGCACGTTTTTCAATTAGGAATCTGGTCTGTCTTGCTTGTTCAATTTGCGACTGTTCCATCGATTTGCGCATCTTGCATCCTGTTTGTTGCTTGCCTCTGGCTTCTTGATTGAAGTCACGGACACAGCACACAATTCGGCGACGAGCGGCACGAACTATAAATTGGGAACCCCCGCGTACTTTCAGACCTTCCCATCGTCGGTCGCAAAAAATATGCTACACTTGCAGCTTCGTCGGTCACAGTCCTTCAAGCTAAGTGGAAGCAGACGATGCTCGCCGGTTTGCCCCATCTGTTGTCCTTGAAATGGAATACAGTATGCATACAGTACTCTAGGGAATGCTGTATTCGAGGAGCCATCACAAGGACGACACTGCGTTTTGCGTACGACTGCTTAGCTTCTACTTCTTTTCCAGTTTTGGTGCGTCGGCGAGTGGCTCGACAAAGCGAGTCTTTATTGCCATGTTATTTTAACACTTCACAGTGTTTATCGGAGCGGACCACACGTGCCTGAACTCAGAGGCTTTCAATGCACTGACTGATTCTGCGTCAGCTTCACAATCTCTCCTCGGCGCCTCAGTCCAGTCGCCGAGGAAAGATCCGAGTTCTTCATCTCTCCGCCTTCGATTCCGGCTTCCCTTGTCACGTTGGACAACCATTCACTCACCGCCGGCGAAGAGCAGACCGATCACATTCTTGAAAACTCCTCGAACAGGAACTGTTTCAGTCGTCTTCACGAGTGACTGCTTCCTCACTCAGGCAGCAACCATCTTTTTCACCCACACGTATATTTCGCTCTTTTCTAGCTCATATAGCAGCTCTTGTAACGAAACAGTCCCATTGAACGTACTGAAAAAGACTTTAGTAGATGAGTAATGCTTGGCTTTGAAAATTTGGCTGGTACTTTTCGTGGCCATTACCCCTGAATTTGGTTACAACTCTGCCTCAGGCCAACATTCACTTGGATTCACTTTCTTTTGTGAATTCACTTTCCCACAAGATTACCCGCTGATGATGTCATTGCTTTGAGCGAGTCTGACTGACGAACCACCACGTCTTCTGCCCTGTGGAACCCTTCCATTTCCATCACCATCAGCCCGCCCACCGCTGATCGACGTGGCGACTCTCCCGACAATCCAATTGGTGAGTGTATCATTGCTTTTGTTCCCCTCGGACACTCATCTCCTAACGTAAGTCTCATCTGCAGGTCGCTCACCATGGGTAGACTTACGGCCTCGGCCAAGAGGACCTCGGTCAAGATCAGACGGCTTGTTTCACGCGGAAAACGTCAGCAAATTGCATCGTCGTTTGGACATGAAGACCTGAAGCACGCGACTCAATTTACCCTTCGCGACCGCCAGAGCCAGTAAGAGCCCCTGGCTGCGGATCAAGTGAGGTACGGGAACTGACCTTTGAGGGAAGACTTCTTGATGCTTCCCCGGCACGCAGAGAAGAAAGAGCATATGGATTGCCTCAACTAGTCGAAGCTGCCATCTCGTCTTCTGGATACCTTCAAGCGGACTTTCCATCCTCGCGGACCTCTTCAGTCTCAACCGCATCGATCAACTCTGACGCGCTCGAAGGAATGGAATTCTTGGAACGGTTCGACGAGAATCCCTTCAAGGACATCACGCTTGGACATGAGTATGCTGCGATCCAGCATGTTCGTGGTCCAGACGATGAGTTCAAAAGACCACCTATTTGGAACAACCAATCCACAGGAAGCCCCATGATTGAACCACCTACCGCCCCACGCCGTCTTCGCCTTCCATCAGGCATCAGAGTGGCTGTTGAGCAGGATCGTCAGCGCAAGAAGGAGCAACAGCAGGCGGGCAAAATCTCGGCGGAAATTGAACTCGGAGAGGACGAGGAATGGGCGCTTGAGCCTCACGAGGTTGGACCGGCAAGGTTTCCGTACGAGTACCCATTTTGCAATTCGGGCGGCATGGATCTTAGCGTCCGTCGCATTGAAAGACGCCAATCACTCTGATGGGATCCAAGAAAGGGAACAACTGAGGGTTGACGGGCGAAAAGTTTCTGGTTCATTGGACTGGAGCAAGACTGAATTCATTGCGTGGTTGCTTGGAACTCTGCCTGTATATGAAATAGTCCCCGAACGTCTTTGGTTCGACGAGTCCAAATAAATTGCTCGATGAAAAGTTTGCACACCATCTGTGTTATTTCCTGGTCGGCGTGGATAGCGTTCGATTCCACAAATCTCATCGAACACGGCAAGGCTGCAGCCGCTTGTGTGGGAGACACGACCAGTCCAAGGCGCAGCTGTTTTTGGACCTGTGCGATGCGCTCTATGGCGTGGGTTGCATAAAGCTTGAAAATCAGAGCTTCATCTTCAAATGCCTTCCAAAATTATGTCCATGTAAAAACCGTTGTTGGTATAGACATTACCCCTGAAGTTCAGTCACAAGCGCAGTATTAGCTAATCAGTTCACATTGATTCACTTCACTTTGAGAAGTGAACAATACGAAAGGTGAAACCTAGATTCTGCATTCTATGCGGCTGGGTCCGACTGCTCACAAGTACTGAGTTGTGGAGGTGCCCGGACTTGTAACCAACCACCTCATCGCTTCATCCTCCTCATCCTCACCACCGAAATCCCCATCGCAAACTGAACCCCTACCACAGTCACATCACAACATCCTCTTTCTTCATCAAGCACTTTTGTCCTGTCGTCCTCAAGTGCAACCTACCATCTCAAGCTCAACACAATGGGCAAACTCTCGGCACGCGCAAAGAAGGCAGCCGGCAGACTGAGGCAATTTGTCAACGCCAAAAGTCGTGATGAGCAAGCCGGCGTTCATCCAGTCGACACACGCAAGCAAAAGTCTTCGTGAGTTGACCACAATGTTGTTGAGAGACGAGCGCATACTAACATCTCCACCAGGTCAAGCGCGTGCTCCATGCATAGGGTCAAGGGCTGTCGGTGCAACGAGCTTCCCGGCCACACCACCATTGCAGAAGTACATCAGACCAACGGCCTTTGCAACATGCTCAACAGCGGCACCAACTCTACCATCTCGTTGGATTCCGTCGCTCTCGAGGGTATGGAGAGACTTGAGCGTACGCCCGGTAAAGACGTCGGCGAGCGTTATGGCCAGCAACCGGAGAACCAGAGCACGAACTCCAGTACTAGCAGCTTTTCCTTCATCTTCGGCGAGCCCGATCGCGTCCCTACTACTTTCAACGTCGCAGGCAACAGGCCGGTCAACGACGTCGGACCCGTGCGCCGTCTTCCGAGGCTCGACTTGCTAGAACGCGCCCGCGCTGAACGCCAGGAGCACCAGCCTCAGGGAGTAGAGCTGCAGGAGGGAGAAGAGTGGGTGCTCTTTCCAGAAGAGATCGGCCCCTTCCTCAACTATGACTTCGAGTACTCAAACTTCACTGAACTACCCAACGTCAAGAGGAGGCGCTCGTTTTGAGTCCCTTAGATTCGGCAACGTCAATCACGACGAAGCAGCTCGGCAAAGTGACGGTGTTCAAACCGGTGTTCTAGATGCTCATTTCGTTGGAAACCATCATCGCATCCACGGCTCTTTCTCTCGCAGTGCGTATCCAATGTTCCAAAATATGCGACCGTCTTCTCGTCACTAATTTTGCAACTTGACTCATCAGGACGGACAGGTTCCTGGGTCGCCAAATGCCGAAAATCGCCTCTTTGTAACAATTTCGAGGCTGGAGTGCGCACCACTAAGGGAGGAGTGATAGGGGTTTCACAGGGACCAAGACCAATCGAAGGAGGGGGGTAAAGAAATGAATATGACGATCT